AGTCCTGGGATCGAGTCCCGCATCGGGCTCCCTGCTCAGCGGGGAGTCTGCTTCTCCCTCTGCCCCTCCCCCCTCTCATGCTCTATCTCATTCTCTCTCTCAAATAAATAAATAAAATCTTTAAAAAAAAATTTAAGTCACATCATGTTACTCTCTTGCTTAAAACATTCTGGTGTCTTTCTATTGTCCGATGGGTTAAATCCCAAACTCCTTAACAAGCTTACAAGACATCACATGACCTTGTCACAGCACCCTGACTGGGTTCTAGCTGACTCCTTTGGTTTCTTTCAGTCAGATGCTCTGTTGTCTCTGGACCCCCGGATAAGCTGTTCATTCTGCCGGGAACCCCGCCCCCACCCCCACTCATATACTGGGCATTACATCTGCTGGAAAGTCTTCACTGATCTCCCTCGAGCCCATATCCAGTGCTCCTCCCGAGAGCTCTCATTTATACCCTGGACTTCTGCTCAAATAACATTTTACATGTGAGTACAGCAAGTGACTGGGCATCTGTGAGGACTCTGTAAGTACCAGGAGCACACGAACTTTGTCTATTTCGATCATCTTTATATCTCTAGCATGCAGCTCACTATGTAACTGTAATCAGTATTTATTTGTTGAATAAATAATTGAATGAAAAAATAAGAGATGCATTCAATGTATTCTATGGTCACTTCTCTCTCTAAAAAAAAGCTATGGTTCTTTGTGGGTGCAATCTCATGCAGGTGACATATCAATTTAACAATTTACTTCTAAAAAGATAGCAGGAGCCAAATTTCCATTGTTTGAGTTCCTGTTTCCTTTAAATTGAGGTTCTTCTGACTGGAAAGGTAGGATGATAATAGCATTTGGCTTCCAACTGGATATATGCTTGATGCATGGTACGCACCGGAAGGTTTGAATGAGGAATGGGAAGAAATAGTCAATACAGAGAAACCTTGATGTTTCTAACCCAGGCAGCATGCCTAACAGTGATAATAACAGTAATACAAATCACTGAAGGAGGAAGATCAGGTTTGTGGGTAGAACAGGATGTGTTCCATTTTGGACTTGCTAATATTTTTATAATATTAGCCACGTGGTCATCCATGTGGGTGACTTCCTGGAAACAATCAAAAGGCAGGTCTGATGTGGAGAGGAATTAAGAGGGACAGCTTTGGTTTAGAACTCAGCAAGCCAAGATGATTGCTGAAATTATGGGATTGTATTGGAGAGTATAAGGGTCAAGAGAGAATGGATAGAACCTTGAAGAATTTCAGCCTTTAAGTAGGATGAAGAGGAAGTATATAGTAAGAGAAACAATCTGTAGAGGAAATGGGACATAAAATGAACCTGAAGACAGGGTTTTGACAACAGTAGACTGGTGGGTGGGGTAGAGACTGGGAGGTTGTGAAGGAAGGGTTCCAAGCAGAAATAACAACATGAAGAAACGAGCAGGAAAGCACTCCACTGAAGAAAGCCATTCAATAACCAGATGTGGAATGAATTTGTTGTAGAGGAATTGGAAGTTTTAAGGACAGGGCAGTCGACATTATTACTATGGAAGAGATGATGACCAACAAAGGCCATAACCTTTGGGTTATGGGACTATTCATATTTGGTTGCTTGGGTATGAAGACAGTCTAAAAGCATTTGACCTACTTCGTTTAAGCTCCAGCCAAAGATAACTGGTAACTTTGGAGTGTCTCAGGTTTCTAAACATAGTCTATAGTCCCCTATCCTAGAGTTAGATTGGGTGTTCTAATTATCTGTGCTGTGATACATCTTTGTGCCATGTCCATACCAGGTGATTTTCAGGTCTACTTTCATCACAATTTCTGAACTTTTTTTTTTTTTTTAATGAGAAATTTAGAAGAGGTCATGTTTCTGGGGAAAGGAGATAATGGCAGCAATGCTACAGTCCATGGCTTAAGTATTATACTGTAAACACATGCTCTAAGAGGGTGGCAAGAAAACAATTTAAGCTTCAGTTCTACTTTCCCCAAAGACCCTACACTTGGTTTTGAAGATTTGCAATTTGGTTGATATTAAAAAGACATATGGATTTTTAAAAATGATGAGCAGCTTAAAAAAATGTTCAGTACCATTTTTCATGTATCGGACCGGCCAAGAGCCACAAAGTTCAATGGCAAGGATATGGGAAAGTGGGTTCTGTCCTACACTGCTGGTGGAAGAGTTCATTGCTATGACCTCTTTGGAAGGCCACTGGCAATATGTGCCAAATGCACACATCCATTCATCCTTGTCCAGGGGATTTGGGACAAGATAATTCACTGCAGCATAGTTTGTAGTGGTGAGAGATAGCAATGACCTAAAATATCCAAGAGACTGGTTAAATAATTATGGCATATCTTTCACCATGGAATATTTTAGTCATTGCTGTTTAGTTTACACAGTAAGATAGCTCTGGAACTATACACTAGAAACTGGTAACATTGGTGGCCTCTGGGAGAGCACTGGGCTGAGGGGACAGGGATGGGAGGGACTTTTTTCACTTACTTTCTATACCTGATGAATGTATAACCTACTTCCACCTACAACCCCAATTGAAGCAAAAAAGTTTTCTGGTGGTAGAGAGTACACTAATAGTTTTGAACACATAGGAAACTTGAGATAAATCCTAGCCAAAGAGTCATTAGTTATGATGGGAATCATTTCAAGAAAATTCAAGAACTGAAGACCATCTGAGCTCCCCCACCCGTGGTTTCACTTCACACAGAACACAAGGCAAAAAGGAAGGGAAGGGTAAGAGCAAGACATCACAAAAAAAGTCACAAAGCCAAGAAACTGGTAGGATAGACACTTTATTGTGGCTTGCTTGTAGTAAAACATTCAACCCTTCAACATGTACTTTTTTTTCCCTGGAGACCACAGCGTGATGCTCAAAGACCTTTAGCCTCATCTTAGTCCAGTCAATGGTTACCTATTTTATAGTTCAACTAGTTAGAGGAAAAAAATCAGAAAAATCTGGTCTTAACATCCCAAATTAAAAGCTGCACGATTTGCAACCCATTCATATAAAGTGCTTATGTTCAGTGCAAAGAGGACAGGCAGACTCTGAAGGGCAAGCAGATGCCAGGGAATGACATTTCCTGGAAGACAGACAATTCTATGACTCAAAGAAGGAAAAACCACTTCACTTGTTAAACTTCTCCCAAAAAGAGATCTAATATTTTCTGTGCAGAGTCTTTCTCCTCTCTATAGGACCAAAGCTCTGAATTTGACAGATGCCCATAATAGTTATTTTTTTACTATCAAAACACCTGGTTCAGAGAGAAATCCATAGGTCTAAGCACCAGAGATACTGACTTTGGCTTCCAGTTCCTGTTTGTCTCAGCAACAAATGTGAGATCCTCAGACTGAGCTCCGGCTGGTGGGAGGCTCAGAGTTGCAGAGCTTTCCTCAGGGCCCTCATTTGCAAATCCAAGTCATTAAGGATGACAGACCCTTTCTAAATCGCATCTGGTGTGGGAGTATGAAAGGAGTACTTCACCTGGTTTTCCACCAACTGGATGGGGACCTATTCATTGTCCCCTTGTTCTGACTCTTATCCACAGGCCCAACCCATGACTCCCTCTGTGAAGACAAAGAAGTGCACCACCCTCTCAATGACCCTGGGCCTCTGCGTCTTCATCTTGTGGTCCTGCTGAGACTGTGGAGAAGCAGGAGAGAAGAGGAAGCAGTTTCCTAACCATTTTAAAGGGGCACAAATAGGACTGTAATTCAAACAGGCAGTCTAGCCATTTTAGTCCTAGGATCGTGGCTACCATTTCTCTCTTCACTCTCGACTAGGGAGCCGTGTTCTCTCTTTGTGGCAGGGATATTCGCAGAAGCCAGCTCTGTGCTTGTCGGCAACCTTCCTGCATTCTTGTTTGGAGAGGTTCACTTTTCTCTCCCTGTGGGATGGATGTGACGGTGCCCTGCCTGCCGGTGTGTGGGGCTCTGACCCCCTCACTGTGTGAATCCACAGTTTTCAGACGCTGGCACCTGAGGATCCTTCGGTTCACACTACCTTCCAAAGATTCCTGGTAACTCCTTGTGCTTGTGACAGGACATGCGTGGACCAGTTTTATTCCACAATTAGCACTTGCCCCAAGGCCATCTCTGAATTTGGGGAGGGGAAGGAAGAAATAAGAGGCAATCCTTTTGGTGCTGCTCTAGAATTCTCTGTAAAACCCTTCTAGTTATGAGGAGCTACTGAGCATCTCCACACGGAGGGAACTGCATACAAATAGGATGACCCGGGTTAAGAACCAAAACGCAGGGAAGGTTTTCAGACTGGCAGAAGTCTAAAGTAAAAGTGCCTCTTTTTGGTGGGGGGTGGGGGGGTTGTTTTGTTTGTTCAGAAATGCTTAGGCGTAAACATGAGTGCACAGGAGAGTGCACGCACACTCACTCACTCTGAGGTAGAAAGAACTGGCCATCTCCAGACAAACATACAGATTCCACAATTTTACAGAAACATGGCACTTGCGTGGCGTGAAAGGTCCTATCCTTGCCCAAGATGGCAAGTAGGGTCCAATCCAGCTCTTTCCGACCTGGGGCAGAGCCAGGGAAGTCCCACTGCACAGGAGGAAAGAGGTAGAGATCATCTCCATCTCTCCTGTTCCACAGTATTCAGGCCCCGCTGCCCATGGTCACTTCCTGGAGCCTGAGCCGTGGGCACCCCGGGTGTGGCTCGTCAGAAGCCACTGTGTGCAGATGTCTTGCACTACTGCGTCCCCGCTGCTCTTGGCGGCCTGCTGCACCTGCTGGACGAGGACTGTGGCGCGTGAGTGCTCTTGTTTCACGGCAATCAGGTAGGCAGAACGCAGTTTGCAACATGTCAGGTAGGCCTGAACCTGGCAATGGGGCAGAAGAGACAGCCAGAGAGAAACCATCACGGATGATGAAGCAACAAACACAGAGCTGTGTCCCAGAGCTCGGCAGATCAACTTCTCACCTACCAAATTAATGACTGGGTTCTTGTCTTTCATTACATTGTAGCAACGCTTTAAATATTCTGGACCTTAAGCTATTATACTGTGTTATTTTATAATGATTACAAATAATCTCAGAATTTCAAAAAGAAGAAAGCAGGCAGGTGGGTGGAGTCTGGCCTCTGTCTATTGCTTCTGAGGTTCTCCTCCTCACTATCCTGGGCACTCCAGCTTCCTCCTCGCTTCACAGTCAGCACTGTCACTGCCCACACGTGAGGATTTTATAGTTGTCTGGGTGATGATTTGATTGATGTCTGTTTCCTTGACTAGATTTTAAGCTCCATGAGGACAGGAATGGTGTCTGCTTTTTCTACTTCTTGTACTTGTGCCTAGTGCACGCATGGCCTGGCATGCGGTAGGAACTGAATAAATATGCATTAAGTGAATGCATGAATGCACGAATGGACGAAACATCATATCTCTCCCTTACCATGGGCACACACAGATACCCCTTTCACTGTTTTTCTGTTTTGACCTGCTGTATTTAACATCTTGTAACTGGAAATTCAGGTAGGAACATGCACACACACCATTAGAAAAGGTCTAATTAAGGTCTCATCACACGTTGACTTGACTTCTGCTGTTTGGATCAGAAGCGTCTCAGTTTTGGGTATGAGGGGTGTCTCTCTTGCATCCTGGAGGCCTCCACCTCATAAAGCCCCAGTGTAGTGGAGACCAGAGCCCATGCCTTCCCTGGCCCCGACCTCACCAGCACGTTGCTGGTTTGCCAGTGTTCTAGGCCAGCCAACAGCCAGGCCCTCAGGAGCTGCCTCAGAGCTTCCACCAGCAGCTGCCCTTCTGCTGTGACAGTCCCTTCTGGTGGCTGGAAGGGACTCCTCTCCCTTCATGTTTCAACCTTCCACCTTCTTTTCTGTCTTGGTCGCTGAAGTCTTTCTTTCCTAAGCTCAACTACAGATAGTCTGCTAAAGCTAGAAGATGCCGGATATTCTCTAAGCTTACTAAATGATCAAGGCCTGCTGTCTCGGTATCTACCTGCTGCCCCAGGATGTTTGCTCTTACCCACGGGTTTAGCTCTACTTAGTACCTATGGTGCATTAAACATAGTATCACAAGCGGGCAAGCAAGATTCCTACCTAGAGAAGGAGGGCATTTTGCCAGAAGGTCTGAAATAGGAACTGAGTAAGGCTGGTTTTTGGCAGGACCTTGTGGCCTGAGATCACTTAAGTGCATGAGAATAGCTGTTGAGAGAAAAAGACCTGAAAAAGTAAGAACTGTCGAGATTTTAATGCATGCCTTTCCCAGGGACACAGCCTTTGTCCTACTGAGGGGGAAGCTCACTGAAGGCTTGGAAAAGGACTGCAGTTTGGGACTCAGGGAACCAGGGTGTCTGGCCTGGCTGCTCGATTCTCACTATGATTTTGAAAAAGTACTTCTCTACAATTCAGAATATTAGAATTCCATCCTTTCCATAAGAGGTCATCTGGATGCTGCAAGCATAAATGAAGAAATGCTCGGAACATATTCTCCCTAATCCCTCGACTGAAGGCCTGGCAAATTCAGTCCAAGGATTAGCAACACTACCATGGGGAGCAGCTCTGTGCTTCTGTAAGAAGCCATGTGCCTGACATTAGTTTTCCTCAGGAGGGACTCAGCTGCAGATCTTCCCGCTGCTAGTGGCCAGGGCAGTCTGGCTTGGTTTTCCTATGCTTCTGCTGGCCTGTGGGCCTTCCTCCAGATGGCGGGTGGATGAGCGTGTGGTTAGGCACAAGTAGGAGCAGCTGGGAGTACTTCTATTCTGCCTGGTACTCCTTGCAGAAGCACTGATTTCCTACTCAATAGAGAAGAGCTCACTGACTGCAGGGAAGTAGCCTGCTTGGAGAATGAGACACGAATGGCTATTTGTTGCTCAAGGGCTGGGTAGGGTTTTTTCCTTCCGGTACAAGGTACCCTTTTCCCTCCAGGATAAAGAAATGCCTACCCACTCTGAGAACCTCATTCAGTCAGTCAACCTGAAGATGGAAGTGAAGGATTTCCTAGGGGTCTCTGAGAGAAGCTCTGCATGAAAATGGAGGTGAAGAAGTGGGAAGACAAAGGCTCATGAAGTCAATGTTTGTGTGTGCTCCATCTACCTTCTCCCTCTGCACCCCTGCCTGGGCCCCTGCTCCACTTCTGGATGACAAAGAAGTGGAGATACAGGTTGAATGGAACTGTTGTGGGGAGCAAGGGATAAAGGTGAAAAGGTTAGCTCCAGGTGCTGCTCATGACACGAACAGGGTTTGGAGACAGTTCTACTCACCTTGTTGTCATCACTGTGTATCGCCTGGATCAGGCCCTCTAGCTCCTGTGCAGAACAGAAATAGCAGTCGTAAGAGGAGGATGAGGAGTCCCCAGCGTGGGAGCTGAGGCCCAATCCAGCCTTAGCCTGCCTGTTCTCTTTTTAAACTCAACTTCGGCTATAAGAACACCAAAGGAAATCTAATGATTAACACTAGGTTTGGGAATTTGAGGAGAAATAACAGCTCCCGAGGGGACTGTCCTTGGCCTTCACACATGGATGTGGCTCTGTTTACCCCACGAAGAGGCCACAGGGGGACAATTTCATAGGCAACAGGCTCAAAGACTATCTGCAGACCCACCCTGACCTCCTCTACAATCACAGGGAGAAGCTCAAATGGGTATGCCCACAGGTGCACATGTTAGACAGTGGATATTGAGGGACACCTGCCAGGGATAGAGGTGATACGCACGAATTTTCTTTCCAGGGAAGGGTTGATTTGGCTGAGACCATTAGTACAGAGGAGTCAGAAAGATAAAGGGATCTTGCGGAGTTTCAATACATCATGAATGTATCGTGGGGAACAGAAAAACCAAGAGGGGGTATGTGAAGACAATGAAATAGATGGAGGAACCAAGAGGTACAGGAGTGAGCGTACCTGGGGTGGAATTCTCTTGAATGCTTCCAAGCAGTTGAGGAGGATGGTGTCCCCATCACTCTTGGCCGCCATGCCTGACTCACTGACACACTTGAGCAGTTGCTGTATTTCGCTGTATTTCTCCCTCTCCACCAACTGCCGGGCAGCTCTGCAGTAGGTGGCGGCGGCGTCCAGCTGGAAGTCCTAGAACACAGAATGAGGGGCTTAGGGGAGCAGGGGACACCGGCAGTAGGAAGGAAGGCAACATTTAAAAAGCCCCCACTCTGCTTGGTGTAGATAAGCCATATTGATTGCAGTCACAATAGAAAATACTCATATGACACACAAACAAAAACAAGCAGAAAGTTCCTCTTTGGAATGAGGCAGACATTTCAGGAAGCAACCATAAACATCGTAACCTTGATATCTAACATGGTATACCTCACTTAATGCCATGCCACTTTCTGAAAATATTCTAATCAAATTCCCAAGGCCAGTTTGTTCTTCTAATGAGCCACCTTTGTCTTAGGAAAGGGATGTTGGGGGTTGGTATTTGCTGCTACGGACACTTGGTGCTCGGCCAAGAGATGCCTTAGTATTTGGAAACAGACCAATTCACCAAAAGACTGCTTTGCTAGAAACTACCAGATAAACAATCTGGTAGGCCCAATCTATGACAATCCTTGACAGAGTCTGAGAGGAACTGCGGCTCTGCCTGTCCACCAGGGGTATCTGGGTGTGGAGAGCTGTTTCCAACACTGAAATAGGTGGAATAGAAAGGAATCAGTCTGATCACTCATGAAGCCATTGATCCTCGAGACACACACAGTGTGTTCCAGACCCCACTTGCCCAGAGAGTGATGGTCCTTAGGGTATCTGTGTGGAACTGTCTGGGGAGGGCCAGCGTGGGGGGTGGTGGTGGGGGGTGGTCTGGAGAAACTCTGCCCCTTGTGGTTTCAGTGCCCTGCTCCAGACTCTGCTCCAGCGCCACAGTCACACCTGCGTCCTCTGACCACAAGCACAGGAAAGGTACTCCTTGAGCCAACTCCTAGGGATGGATGGAGGGGCAGTTCTTGATGCTGATGGCCCTTCCTGCTGCACAGGACCCCCACCAGCCCCCTGCCACTTCCTTCAGCCATGCTCCCCTCAGAGGGCAAGCAGAGGCTGTGCAGGGGAACAGCTGTGGGGAACCTGGTTTCAGGTCTTTATTTGATAGCTCTTGATGAATTTGTCATTGGTTACTTGGCTTCTGGCAAAGTGCCCGAGAATCTTGAATCTGACACAGTTCTGTAATAGCCACCTTGACTTCATTCGTGACGTATATGTGTATCTGCTTCCCTTGGGATAAAAGTTTTCTGAAGAATAACCTCTCATGGAACTGTGGCCAGTTCCATCCATCTTGAGTGATTCAAGTCATACCTGCAGAACACGGAATGCAATTCCAAAACCATCTTCCACATTTTTCCCTCCTAGCATGACCTGAAAAGGAGAGGGAAATGTGCTTAAAGAGGCAATAATTACGGAGTAGCCCCTCTATCAAGAAAGAGGGCCGCCATTTATTCAACAAGTATTTGTTGAGACTCTACTCAGTGCCAGGCACTAGGGATACAAGAGTAATCAAAATGGACTTGATCCCAGCCTTCTGTGGCTCACATTCTAGTGGGAAGACAGCCTTCAAACAAACAACTGAAATACTAACTAGACGATAACAATTGTGGTAAACTTCTGAAAGATAAGAACAGTCTGTCAGAGGTCTGAAACATTCGAATGTACCTTGCAGGCAACATCCATTTTCATGTGGTTATTTCCAAAGAGAGTTGGCAGAGGCAAGGTGGTGATCTGCGAGGTCCCAGCACTTTCACACCGATGTAAGAACCTGGTCACTTCCATCTGCAGCTGAAGTGTATTCATGTGCCTATGATGACAGGAGACGCACAGTCAAGCCTCATGAGGGGCTTCAGGAGTGACTAGAGCCGGGGGACTGAGACACCACGAGAAGATGGCATTGGAAAAGGCAAAAGAAATGATATGGTGGAAGAAGAGATCCAAAATACTCTCCGAGCAGTTACAACAAGACACAAAGGGTGGTCTGGTGCCCTGGACAGAGGTGCCTCCGAGGGGCCAGAGGCTCCGTGGGACCAGAGAGAGTCCAGGCCCCGAATCAGGAAGTGTTTATGTAGCACCTACGTGCTTCAGACAACAACAGAGGTCAAGAGGGACACAAACCCTGCCCTCACAGAGTTCACAGGCTAGAGGAGAGATGAATAATGAACGAACACATAAAATATTTAGCGACTGGGCCTACAAAGGCAATAAAGGCGGGGTGCAGCATTTACTTTAGATGCTGTGTTGTAAGCAGAGGGAGTGAATGGATAAGCCAGCCTAAAGACTGAGAGGAGGGAAGGGCTTGGTGTGTGGAGGAGCCCCCAGGATGCCAGCATGACCGCTGCTCAGCAAGGGAGAAGGGAGGAGCGTGAAAGGAAGATGGAGATGGGGGCAGGCCAACATCTCGCAGGACCTCTTTTGCCTGCTTACTGGAAGGGGTCTGATCCTAATACATCCCCCGCTCTCTTCTACGAGCTCCTCTGTAGGTTCTCCAGGCTTGTACTGGCCACTGTCACTCAGGAATGATTCCCTTTATTTATTTATTTTTAAAGACTTTACTTATTTATTTGAGAGAGAGACAGAGAGAGAGCGCGCACACACACAGGGAGAGGGAGAAGCAAACTCCCCTCGGAGCACAGAGCCCAATGCGGGGCTTGATCCCAGGACCCTGGGATCACGACCTGAGCCGAAGGTAGATGCTTAACGACTGAGCCACCCAGGTGCCCCAGGAATGATTCCCTTTAGATGTGTGGTTCTCTTTCAAGGGTTCAGGAATGGACAAGAGTGGCTTCATCACCAACAGACACCCCATTCCAGCCCTTCTGCCCACTCTAACTGTTCCTTGAGCCTCGGGCTACCTTGATACATCAGCTGCAGTCATCTTCTTTTGGAAGAAGGTGGTTTTCTTCCTTCGGTTGCTGCGGGAGGTATCTTGGAGGTAGATCTTCAGGTGGTCCTTGGCCTTAAGCAGCCATGAGAGCTTCTCTCCCAGTTCCGTGTAAGTCTTCGCTTTGTGACTGAAGAACCGGATACAGGTCATGGCGGCCCGGACTTGGTCCTAGAAGAGGAAAATGAACATGCAGGTCAAATGAGATCAGGGATACTGGAGGGTATGGTGTAAGGAGAATTCTGACCTGATTTCCACCCATGAAACCTGGTTGCCAGCACCCACTTCTGTCACCAGCTGCACAGCTATTTTGTATCAGTTACTCCTAAGCCCAAGGGATCCTAAAGCAAAAAACTGACTGGCTGAGCTCCCGGGAAGGGCTTTATTCCACCACAGAAGAGATCTTCAAAAAGGATACTTCTGATTCTCCATTCAGCTTGGCTTCGCTCTCACTTTGGCTTTGAGTGGTTCAATTTCTCTGTGATTTAGTGTTTGCAACCCTCGGACAGATTGGGAGACATTCATTCCTTCTCCTTCATACATCTTCTCTAAAAACACTTCTCCATCATTCCTTATGAATTCTGCATTCATGCCTCATGCTTATCTTAAAATTGCCACAGACCTCTTTTTCACCTTCATGTTCCTTGAATTCTGAAGAATGCTATTATTGACAAGGTTAAGGTTTGCCTCTTTGGGATGGGGATGGAAATCCTAATGTTATTCAACAATGCTAGAGAGCCACATGGATTTGCTCTAGGGTTGGTCTAAGAGTGAGGCCAGGGACCCAATGATAGTCTTGTTCCCTCATCTTGCATAGTCTCCCCGCATGGCAGGGTGTCATCAACAGAGGTAGAGAGCAGGAAGGGGCTATTACCTTCATAAACTGCTGCAGCTCGTATAGAATGTGGTAGTAGTTCTTCTTCTGTAAATGTTGGCAGGCAGCTATCAAATACTTTCCCCAGCTCTCTAAGGTTGGATCAATGGACTCTAGCAAGTTCTCCAAAGTGTGTAGCTTCCCACTTTTATAGCTTGGCTGGAAAATGCCTTCTATGAAGACTTCTGGAGGACTCTCCTAGAACAGGGCAAGGCAAAAAGTCAAGTCTTTAGCCTGCTTCTGGCACCATCTGGGACCCACCTAGATTTCCTTCTACTCTCACACCTTAGGCTTCCTTCTATAGTGGTGTTTCTTAGCTTCTTAGCTTTTCATATGTTACAGACATGAGAGAATCCCACTTTAGTGACTGCTCCACTTCTCTCCTTTGCTGAGTAAAAAGTCTCCTTGACCAAGTCATCTACACTCCCCATCTCTGATTTCTCTTCTGTAATTGTCTTTTAAACCCATTCTTATCTAGTTTTTGCACCCACCACTCCACTGAAACTGCCCCTTACGTCACCAATGACCTCTAAATTGTTACATCTAAAAATCTGTCTTGTTTTCCACCTGAACTATCAAGAGCTTTTGCTACAGCTGATGGCTTCCTCCTCCTTGAAAAATTTTATTTGGCTTCTAGGACACCACCCTTTCTAGGTTTTCTTTCTACTTCTCCAGCTACTCCTTCTCAATCTTCTTTGCTGATTCCTCCTAATTTCCTCAGGGCTTAGGAGGAACCTGTTCTCTTTTCTTTCTATACTCACTCTTTTGGTGATTTAATATAATCTCATGGCTTTTTTTTTTAAAGATTTTATTTATTTATTTGACAGAGAGATAGAGAGCACAAGTAGGCAGAGTGGCAGGCAGAGGGAGAGGGAGAAGCAGACTCCCTGCTGAGCAGGGAGCCCGATGAGGGGCTCAATCCCAGGACCCTGGGATCATGACCTGAGCCGAAGGCAGACGTTTAATCGATTGAGCCACCCAGGCGCCCCATAATCTCATGGCTTTAAATCTGTTTGCTGATTATGCCTAGATCCCTGTTTCCACCTTGTTCATTCCTCCTGAATTCCAGAAGTAAATATCCAACTTATATCCAACTGCCTACTCAAAATGTCCTGTTGGGTGTCTACTACACTTAATACACCTAAAACTACACTCCTGGTTGTTTCTTCCAAACCTCTTCTTTCTGTAGTCTTTCCTTTCTCAGACGGCAATTTTGTTTTTCTAGTTGCTCAGGTCAAAAACTGAAGTCAAATCCATCCCCCCCCGCCTCAGCACCCAATATCAAATTCATTAGCAAATTCTGCTGGCTCTACCATCAACATACACACAGCATCTGCATCTATCTGGCCACTTCTCACCACCTCAATGCCCAGCCCTGGCCAAGTCATCGTTACCACTTGCCTGAATTATTGCAGTAGCTTCCTCCCTCATCTACTACCTTCTGTCCTGCCTCTTTTTTGTCTAATGCCAACCAATCAACCTGAGTGATTTTGGTAAAACGTAAGTCACATCACGTTATTCCTCTGCTCAAAATCTTCCAGTGGTTTTCCTCACTCAGCATAAAGTCCAAGCCCTCACAACGTCCACAAGGCCCTATATGACCCTCGTATGATCGGGCCCGTTACCTTTCTGACCTTATCTGCTCCTACGCTTTTCCCAGCTTTCTCTGCTCAAGTCACCTTGGCCCTTGCCCTTGCTACTCCCTTCGCCTGGACTGTGCTTCCTCCATAATCTGCCTGGCTCACTCCCCACCTCCTTTAGGTCTTTACTGAGTGTCCCCTTCCCTGGGCATCCGTTCTAAAACTGCCCAATCCATCCCTGCCCTCTCCCCTGCTTTATTTTTCTTATTACTCATCATCTATACTACAGATATTATTTACCTTGTTTACTGTCTGTCTCCCTGCTATAATGTAAGTTTTATGAGAGCAGATATTTTTGTCTATTTTTTTTTCATAGTGCCCAGAGCAGTCCTTGGCTTTTTAATAAGTATTTCTTAGATAAACGAGTAAGTGATAAACATTATAGACCAACTCCTCAGGAAGGTGCACACACACACTAATCACCTCCCTTCTGAAGCTCATCTGTGGTTCAGAGATGCTGTATCATAAACCCGAATTCTGGGGTGCCTGGGTGGCTCAGTCATTGAGCGTCTGCCCTCGGCTCAGGTCATGATCCTAGGGTCCTGGGATCAAGCCCCACATTGGGCTCCCTGCTCAGTGGGAAGCCTGCTTCTCCCTCTCCCACTCCTCCTGCTTGTATTCCCTCTCTGTCTCTGTCAAATAAATAAATAAAAATCTTAAAAAAACAAAACCCAAAACCCCGAATTCCATAGTCATAGAAAAAAAAAATCACCTGGGCATTTAGATTTTGGACTATGAATAACTAATGGAGGGTAAAGAATGGCCATAAACTCATGTTAGTATACCCATGTTGGCCTTGTAGCACTGGGTACGGGCTGTTTAGAACTGGAGTTCTGAGTTTTCACAACATCCACAGTGGGTGAGGACTCCTTTCCTGATTCTGGATGTTCCTAACTCAGAAACCCAGACCTAATCTAAAAGTTTTAGGACAGATTTTAAAAGGCAGGGGAATCAGCTGCATAGGAAGGTGATATTTCTCAGAAGAGCAATACGTTAAAAACTTCCATTTCATCTATTTACCTACTCATTCATTCATAACTGGCTCTAGGTCTGGCATCGGAAGACACAGAGAAGTAAAATATGGTCCAGAAAGGGTGACAAAGTTGTAAACAAACAGTTGCAATGCATAGGATAAATGCAGTAACAGAGCTGTATTCTAGATACAGTGGTGTATACAGGAAGAGGTGCCTAATGTTGCTTGTGCATTCTATGAATGCTCAACAGAGAGGGTTTGAAAGGATAAACGGGAGTTTTCCAAGAAAACGAAGAGGGGCAGGGTATTCTAGGTTACGGGGGACAGCACATGCAGGTTCATGGAGGTCAGAAAGGGCAAGGTACAATCAGGAAAATTTAAATAATTTGGTAAGTCTGGAATGTAGGGCATATATAGGCCTTGCAGTGAAAATAAACGGGAGAAATAAGGGGGCCTGATCTTGGTGGGTCCTGTATGCATGCTAAGGAATTTGGACTTCACCTTGTGGCCACGGGGATCTCCTGAGGGTCTTTCAGAGAGGAGGATAACATGAACTATGAATAACACAAATAACACGTATTATGTTTTAGAAAGCTCACTCTGGGGCAGTGTGACAGGTAAAAGGGGTGAAAAGGGCAGGGAATGAAGCTAGCTAAAGAACACCTTCCAGGCTCTAGCCATTCAGTTGGAGTTTTCACAATGTGCTTTTCTGTTGTTCCCCACCTGCTTGAGAATTAAGGTATTTCAGTTCAAGGGTTACCGTGATTATAGGAGATAAAAAGAAGGCTTCCTTCCTCGATCTGACAAATGTAAAGCGGGGTAATGTTGTTGTCAGCTTCTACCAAGATAAGTAAGTAAGCTGCTTAACTCTCTGGACTAGTCAACAGTTAGAAGAAACAGAACTGGTTGATTTCCACTCTCAATCTGTGCTTGGGAGAAGCAGCTTTACCCTAAAACTCATTTAGAAACTGAGGAAAAGGAAAAAATTAGCAGTTAAACCCTAAGTAAAATAACTCTTACTTTATTTTTGGAACCCGGTTAGTAGTTACCCTGTAGGGGCATGGTTACCATGACTGTGAACAGTTGACTTCACTTGGAGTAATCCTAGAAGATATGTCCATTTGTAAACTTTCATTGGCTGCCATTTTGAATTAGGACAGCAGATTGAAATTAAAGTATTGAACTCCTTTAATTTCCTATGAAATTTGGTAAAGATCCGCCAATTCCTCAGAAAGTATTCATGGAGAACATTCTGATAAAAAAAATGAATGCCAAAGGGTCATGGTGAAACAGAATCCTGATTTTGCTTAACAATGGCTCCAAAGAATGCACTTCAGAGGTGCCTCTGCCCCCTTGGGAGGAGGACAGAGGAGGTCAGAGAGAAAAAAGGTGAGCACACTCTCCTTCCATTAGGTATCTGGGGCCCAAATAGAGGATCATGGGTGTTTCCTGGCCCTTGTAACAACTCTGGGTGGATTAGCAGCTAAGTCGCAGTGGGACACAGTCCCAGGGCAGGGGGGGAGGTGTGTAGAAACCGAGAGGTAAAGCAATTTGGTCAAGGTCACACCATTTATACCAACCATCTAATTCCAGAGACCATGCTCTCAACTACGATTTGATTCTGCTTTATGTTTTGGGAGAAGGGATGAAATTTGTCATCGCCAATCAGAAGGGCAATCTGGATCCAGGTTAAGACTTATTGCCCATATATCAAATCATAATTTGGATGGATAGAATTTTCCATTTTGACCTGACTCTGCCAGAGATGATCTCATAGCTCAACACTGTGTCAAGTTTCAGGGGGTTTACCAACCCCCCTTTCCCCCACGGCCCTTAAAGCTAAGTGGGCCAGCCGAAGGTCCTGCACTTTGAGAGGTAGGTCTGTGTGTCCCACCTTGTTGAGGAGGTGGAGCAAGGCTTCTCGCAGGCAGCTGTGCCTCATGTAGAAGCTGATGATGGCCAGGTTGGTGCTATAGTTATGCAGGTAGAAGAGGCATTCTTGGTAGGAGGTGTTGTTCATGATCCTCCCTTCAGGAATCACCTCCAGGGAGAGGCTCTGGGTTCGAAGGGTAGCTTCCAGTTCTTTCAAGGTAGCAAAGTAATCATCATCTTGCTGACAGGAGAGTGCAAAAGAAAAAGAAAACTCAGTAAATTCTCAGCAGCCTCTGAAAATATTGCTTTCAAAGAATATTTATGGATGTGGAAGTAGCCTCACAATATAGTTTGAAGGGCAGAAAAACAGGCAGGATACAAAATTCTCCATATTATAATACTGTTTCATTCAAAAACATAACACAGAAAATTCACCAAAATCTGAACACCACTTAAGTCTGGATATGGGATTAAATGTCATTTTTATCATTTTAAAAATACTTTTCCATCTTTGTTTTTTTTTTTAAATTGACTTTGTATTACTTATCTAACCATATATGGTTACTAGCTAATTATGTATAATGGAATGAGCGAAATCTAAACCTGGAAGCTCTGAGCCAGGACTGCCACTATACGCTGAGTGGAAGCTGATCCTTTTCCCAGGTCATTACTGCTCCTGGGCCGCCTTCCTCCCTGAACTGAGCCTCCCCCTGCTATGTTCTTACCAAGGATAGGAGTGGCCTCACTGTGGACTCCAGGTATTCAACCACATCCTGTACCAGTCTTGAGCCATGACTCAGCTGATTGAGGTCAAAAGGAGGCTTCAGACAGCGACTAAACTTCTCCCGTGCAGCAGTGAGGTTCCCAGCCTTGAGGCAGGCCATGCCCCAAGCGTGCCACGCTCCAGTGGGATCGAGGCCAGTCTTTGTGGAGATCTGGAAGAAAAACTGCTCCTTTTAGTGAGAAGTACCTAAATCCAGGCCTGAAAGTCCCAAAGACCTGTTCTTTCCCATTATTGCCAATCATATTCCTTCCCCATCACCTCACCTACCATTACCGCCAACTGGCAAACTTGTCATGCCCTCGCTACTTCCCCATGGCTGAAGGCAACTGAGAGATGACAACAGCCTTTTGCAAGGGTAGGCAAAGGCAACTCACTACAGTTGGGCACAAGTAAGCTTTGTCTTCGTCTTACCTCAACACCCAGTTGGTAGTACTCAGCTTCCAAAAGCTGGTTCCTTAGCCTGGTTACTGCAGCCGGCTGCAGGATCTGGTCCAGAGGTGGCACGTGGCGATAAGAAGCAGCAACTAAGATATTCAGCACATCCACCTTGCTGATGTAGCTACAGGGAGGGAAGGGGCAAGGCAATGAGGCGCCACAGAATCTTACTAAAAATAGTTGCTGCTTACAAGTTTTCTTTTTCTTTTTCTTTTTTTTAGATTTAATTAAATTAATTTATTTATTTGAAGAGAGCGAGCGAGAGCGGGAGGAAGAGCGCAAGCAGGGGGTGCAGCAGGCAGAGGCAGGGAGCCCGATGCGGGGCTTGCTTCAAGCTTGAGCCACCCAGGCGTCCCTGCTTACAAGTTTTCTATTTCAATTCCAATGTGAAATGTGAAAATGAGAGTTGAGGGGTACATAAACACTGTGAGAGAAGGCTCTGGAGTCAGACTCTAAATTCAACTCCATCACTCAGCAGCTCTATGACCCTAGGCAAGTTAGTTAACTTCTCTGCCTCAATTTACTCATCTGCAAAATGGATAAAGTAACAGAATTTTAAGGATAAAATGAAACAGCTCAAGTATCGTTCCAATTTTAGTATATGTGCTGCCGAAGCGAGCACGAAACAGCTCAAGTAAAAGGCCTTAGGATTAAGTCTAGAATTTTGTAGGTACTCATTAAATGTTAGATATTAATACTCAAGGTAGGGATGCTCACAATTACTTGTTTTTTGGTTCTTTAGAACCCTGTTTGCTTGGGAGAGAGTACATGGCCTATACTCCTAGCCAGTAAAGAGGTCACATCACTACCACTGCCTGGGGATGCTGCTGGGCAATCACTTGGATTCTAGTCTCCTGGACTTGACATTGACTCCCTGTGCTAAGAATAGGTCCTTGATACAGCCCACTAGCACTGCCACCTTTGATCTTACTCCTGACACATGGTGATTGCAAAAATCTTACAGCAACAGAGAGCCCAGAGAACTGGGTCACTCTCTCCAGTGCTGCCTGAAACAGTCCTACACTCAAAGTTCTTGAATATAATTATATATATTACACAATATATATTACATAGTAAATACATTATGCAATATATGTTATATTCTAGTCAAAAAACCTGTGGATTCTGACTTATCTGCTGATTTCCCTGGAAAGGGATTTAGTACATCAGTCATTTTCAACTTAGTGGGAATGGGGTAAGGGAGAGTACACATTGTAAAAGCAAATTTGGTATCACAATGTATTATACATTTTTTTAAGAAGATTTTATTTATTTATTTGACAGAGAGAGACACAGCGAGAGAGGGAACACAAGCAGGGTGAGTGGGAGAGGGAGAAGCAGGCTTCCCACTGAGCATGGAGCCTGATGTGGGGCTCGATCCCAGGACCCTGGGATCATGACCTGAGCTGAAGGCAGGCGCTTAACGACTTGAGCCACCCAGGCGCCCCTGTATTATACATTTTTTTTTTATAAAGATTTTATTTATTTATTTGTCAGAGAGAGAGACAGAACACAAGCAGGGGGAGAGGCAGGCAGAGGGAGAAGCAGGCTCCCTGCTGAGCAAGGAGCCCGATGTGGGACCCGATCCCAGAACCCTGGGATCATGACCTGAGCCGAAGGCAGCCGCTTAACCAACTGAGCCACCCAGGCGCCCCTGTATTATACATTTTTTTTTTTTTTAAAGATTTTATTTACTTATTCATGAGAGAGAGAGAGAGAGAGAGGCAGAGGGAGAAGCAGACTTCCCGCAGAGCGGGGAGCCCGATGCGGGACTCGATCCCAGGACTCCGGGATCATGACCTGAGCCGAAGGCAGACGCTTAACCATCTGAGCCACCCAGGCGCCCGCCCTGTATTATACATTTTTAATAGGTAATGTGAGTTCTGTTTTTAAACATTTATTTGTTTATTTATATGTCTACTGGAAGGAAGTAAGAGTTAAAAACAGTGAAAAAATACTCTGCAAATCACACGAGAGATGAATCCACCACCATCAGCAAACCTGCACAAAAGAAGTAATCCTCTAGAATGGGTGTGTGAATCCAGAATTGGGGAAAAAGAATGTGTAATTCGAAACCATTGCTGTACACTGTCAAGAGAAGTGCACAGCATCTGGGGGTGAGAATCCTTACAAAGTAAGCACTTTCTTAATTTCTGTTGTCCAACAGTCTAGAGTGGATATTTCGTCCATTTATATTTGATTTTGAAAGAAGTATAAGATTTGATGTTAAATTTGTTTTGTTCCCCAATCTGAATACTTTTTTCTTTTAATAAGATTTAATCTCATTTACATTATTAATATTTGAAATATATTTAAATATATTTTAATTTTTGCCTTAAACTCTACTTTTTGCTATATGGAGTGGTTTTTGTTCTTTTCCCCTCTTCTCCATTTCTGGTAAATTGGTAGATTTTTGGTTCTCTTCACAGGTATTTTAAAAAACCTTACTTGGGGTGTCAGGTGGCTCAGTAGGTTAATCGTCTGCCTTCAGCTCAGGTCATGATCCCAGGGTCCTGGGATGGGGCCCCAGGTTGGGCTCTCTGCTCAGCTGGGACTGCTTCTCCCTCTTCCTCTGTGTGCTCTTAATTTCTCTCTCTCAATAAATAAAATCTTTAAAAAAAATTTAGGGGCGCCTGGGTGGCTCAGTCATTAAGCGTCTGCCTTCGGCTCAGGTTATGATCCCAGGGTCCTGGGATCGAGCCCCACATCGGGCTCCCTGCTCAGCGGGAAGCCTGCTTCTCCCTCTCCCACCCCCCCTGCTTCTGTTCCCTCTCTCACTGTGTCTCTGTCAAATAAATAAAATCTTAAAAAATAAAAAAATAAAAACAATGTTTTAAAAAGTGAAAAACTTTTAACATACACCCATTTCTTCATTTATTAACTTGAAAAATGATGTAGAATCTATTGTCTCTTGATAAGAAAGAGTGAAATTAACTCCTTTATACTTCCTTCCATTTTCTGTCCCACCTCCTCCTGCCTTTCTCAATCTTCCGGTTTTGTTAATGAAAATAATAAAACTAGCATTTCTGGAGTATAAAGGCTCAATTCTTAGCCCTTTACAGGGAGACTCTCATTTTATCCTAAGTGCCCTAGAAGTATTACTAACATCCCCATTTTACAGAGGAGGAAACTGAGGCCCAGGGCAGTTAACAGACTTGTCCAAGGTTACAGAGCTAGGAAGTACTGCAGATGAGATTCACTGCACTCGCTCTGCTGTCTTGGGAGTTGCAGGCAAATACTCTGAACAAGTGCCTGAGGCACTTATACTTCAAAGAAAATTATGCTCTCTGCTCCCAAATCTGGCTAGGACTGAGTGCTGAGAACATACAACATGAGTCACACATCTGGGTGGATAAGCTGGGAACTGGGAGTTTCAACTGTCAAGTTAATGATTGGAGGCAGAGCAGGTTGTACAGGGCTCTGGAGCCTAATGACACCTTTTCCACAGATACTTGTACTTTATGACTAGGATTCCTATCTGTGACACAGGGATAGACCAGTCCCCAGTGCGCTTCATAGATCTGTTACCTAGTACTTCTGAGGCCACACTCTGGATTTGGTCAAGACTGGGATAGAGTTCCAGCCAAGGCTAAGCACTGGACATTTAGGGAGGACACATTTTTCTTTAAAAGCCAGAAAGTTCCATAGAGACTAAAGATGCTCCCCTAAATTGATTTTAATTTCAAATTAACCAAAGTCTTGACTTTCCTTCTGACTGGGCAGAGCTAGAGAACGCTCTGCTTTGAGGATCTACCCAGGGAAAGAGGACACAGGCTGTCTAGAGGAAGACCACTTGTGATCCGGTAACAGCATTTCACTGTCATCAAACTGAGATGCACAACATTTTCAGTGCATCTTCCGAGAGAGGATGGTGATGTGAGAACTCATCGTGGGGCCAGGAGAAGAAGCCAGACAGAAATGATAACCATGTAAAAGAACCAAGACTCACTCCCATTTACCTGTCACAAAGAGCGAGGTCCCATTTACCTGTCACAAAGAGCGAGGTCCTGGCTCCGGCCGGCTTTGACGAACATCATCTTAGCACTGAAGAGCAGCTGCTTCATGATGTCTGTGAGCAGCCCTGCATCCACCTCGGGATTGGTGAGGCCCTGGGACAGCCTGCAGCAGTGCTCGATCAGCTGGTGGCCACAGGCAATGCTGTCCCGGTGCAGGTTCAGGATGGCAATGCACAGGGAGGCGCTGGGGGACTAGCCAGGGCGGAAGAAGAGAGAAAAACACAGTGAGCTCAGGGACCAAAGCATTCTTCAAATGTCATTGGATGGCAGGAATTACTCTTCCCAGCTCACCAGGCTTGAAATATACTGGAGGAGGGAGCCAAACTTCCAGGGCAAAGCAGGAGTGAAACTAAACAGATTTCAGATGTTCTAAGTGGCACTGCTAGCTTCTGTCACGATACTGGGAAGAAGGCAGCTGTGTTCATGTGTTACCTACTTCTTGGGAATGTCCACATGTTTCCTTCCTTTTTCCCACTAGTGCAGGTCCTCCTTATTGCTGGTTGGACTGACAGTCCCCTTGCTGGAGAAGTCTCGGCTTCAAGCCTGGACACACTGCTGCTGAATTAATAGTCCAAAGCACACTCCAAAACCTTTCATGGTCCTTCATGCCGACCAAGTACACTTTCCCTACTGCAGAATTCAAGGCCTTGCCCATAAATTGCCCATTTCAATCCTACCTTTTACTACCTCTCTATGAACACCCTACGTTCCTTCAGATTAAACCATTTCCAGTCCCCTACTCATGCCCTGCAATTTTTAACACTGTGCCTTTGCTCAGATGTTCTGATTTTGTACTTTTTGTCCTTCTCCTACCCTCACTCTCCTTACACCCCCCTCCCCCCAAATTTCTGCTTGTCATACTCCTACCACTCTTCTAAGGATCATCTTAAATGCTACTTCTTCCATGAAGCCCTTCCTTTTTAATTTTCTTTTTATTATTTATTTATTTATTTTAGGGGAGGGGCAGGGAGAAAGGGAGAGAAAGAAATCTTAAGCAGGCTCCACACGGGGCATAGATGTCACAGCCCTAAGATCATGACCTGAGCCAAAACCAAGAGTTGGATGCTTAACTGACTGAGCTACCCAGGTGCCCCATGAAGACTTTCCTGATCTGTCTCATACATTTCCAAGATGCTCTTCATTTTCTGCCTCATTTGGTTTACTGGTCTTAGCTCCTACATTATTACACTCTAAGCACGTGAAGGCCAGGCTGTGTTCAGCTATCTCTGCATTTCTTACCATAACTACACATTGTAAAGAAACTCAAAGGACCATCAAGTTTTATTGCTATTACCTGCTCATAGTAAAATTCACTCCGCACCAGCTCGTTTTCCTCCTCATTCAGATCCAAAATCCATTCCACCTCAGCTGCTTTGGGGACTCTCACCACGGCTGAGTATGGAGGACTTTCACTCTTGGAGCTGTCTGGTGCTGAGAAGAGAAGTGTCATTCATGTGTCAGTCACTGACCAGCAGTCCAGTGTAACCCCAGCCAGAAAACTGGCGTGAGCTGCACGCAGATACCTGCCTGTTCTCTCTCCTTGGTCCTTTTTATTTCCTTAAGATCTCATTAGGTACCTCAAACTTTCTTCCCCACGGAAGATCCGGGATGAGTGTTACAGTGTCATACAACCTCACTGCTTCACACAAGAAACTCTGAAATGTACACCCTTCTCAAATGGAGGGCTGACTCATTGGCTACCCTAAAAACTAACCTCTGTGGAAGGATATGAACCAAACTATTAATAGTGATTGCCTAGGGGGAAGGAGGGAGCATATGGAGGTAGGATGGTGGTGAAAGGGAATCTAGGAGAAAAAAAAGAAATAACCTACTCAAAGTCAGGGACCAAATTCTTTGGTTGCTGGCCTTCTGAATGCTGGAAGCTAATGGGCCAGTACGGTAGGTTAACAGGACAATAAACTTTAAGAGAAACAGCTTGATAGAAATGCCAAGAATTTTCTTTCTTCCTTGGCCAACAAGTTGGAATGAGTTGCTGTATTAAGGGTATCAGTTGCAGGTGAAACCCTGAAAGAAGAGCCAACTTGAACATATAAACAAAGAGACACAGGACTATGATTCCGCCTTACCTTCCGGTTGTCCTGGACTCTCCTCTGGCACACTGGAAACAGAGAAAGCAAAATGAAATGCCCGAATCCCTTCCTCTCCTCTTTGTTTCGCAGTTGGTATAAAGCACTGCCATATACATTGTTGCCCAAGTAAGATGTATCAGGGAAACAACCAAACTCTTTTCTGTCCCTCACCTGCCATAGCCAATCATTGACCATTTTCTGTCCGTCTCTTCAATACCTCTTGAAATGTCCCCATCTCTCTCTCCATCCCTGCCTCAGAGAGGACCCTCATCATTTATTGCTAGAGGCTTTGTAATGGCTTCCCAATTGGTATCCTTGTCTCTGTCAACCTACTCCCTCCTTTATAGCTACAGCAAGCTTGTAAAAATGCAAATCTGGTCATGTTATGCTTCTGCTTAAAATTGTTCCACAGCTTCTCAGGGTAGAAGTATTTCACATTTGCAGTTTCAGCAGATAAAGCCCTACGACCTAGCCTGGTTATCTCTTGTGAGCAACTCCTGCCATCCATGACCTGTGCTCAACTCATTAAAGTCCTCCCCACTCTGCCACTGGCTCTTGTCAAAGTCTATCACCTGCATGAGAAGCCTGCTGGTCAACCCCAGCCCATGCCGCCAAAGAGCAAGCTTCAAGCCTTTGGGCCCAAGTCCTCCTGGCTCACCTGTCAGGTTTTTAAGTCCAAGGTATGCCAGCTACTACCTCAGCCTATCCACCTACCTATTTACACTTCCTCAAAGCACCCACATATTCCCTGCCCCTACTTTTGCAGTTGCCACTCCCACTTCTGGGCATGCCTGTTTTGGCTTCTTTTCCTAACTTCTCATACTCTAATGCTCACACAAGTTGCCACACCTCTCAGAAAGCTTCTGACCATCAGGCTACGCTGTGTGGCTCCACCACTGCACTCATCCAATGAGTCTGTGGTCTGTTAATGGTCTCCCCACTAAAGTGGGGGCTCCTTGAGGAAGAAGTGATTATTTTTGAGTAATTGTTGAATGAAAGGATCTCCATCAATACTAACTGCTCATTTCCAATCTCAGCAATATGGTATATGGATATTTCTTCTGTCCCCTACCCCAAGGGAGGTAAGTGGTATGTCAGGATCACAGAAACTGCAATATAAGCATGGCATATCTTTCTTCCTAGGAGATCAGTAATCATCATGGTAAATAATGACAAAAAATGTTTATATTAAAACAAACTCAATAATGCTATTGAGCAGAACATAAAATCAATTTAAATCTGGAAGCAAAACATGAAGAATTCAAAGTAATTTGCTTTTGAGGAGTTGCTTTGGCTCATATTTCCAGATGGCCTAGGAGGCTTAGTCTCACCCTCCTTTGCTGCTAGAAGTAGTGAGAAAAATTGAGCAACACTAGGCCAACAAACACAGTCTTAATCTGTCTTGCCAGAGGTATAAGCAGTCTCTGAAATTTGTTACTAGATAAACTGCATAGGAAGGTGTGGGGGCTCTTCTAGTTGTGGATAACAAGCCAGGATGACTAGCTAGATTAGAACTGATGCAAGCTGATGCTTGAACAGTCAGCAGGTGTGAACATAACCCTCTGAATCCAGCTGAGACCAATGGAAGCAGGAGTGGCTGAACAATTGGTGAGGTTGAACAATTGGTGAGGCAAACTAAGATTAATGGCCTTGGTCAGGAATCAAGTGTTCTGATTTCAGGGAGAACACTATGTAAGAACCTTGAGCTCTGCTTCCTTCCTCTCTTAGAAGTTTCTCTGACAAAGGTCAAACGTATTGCTGTAGAGTTAATGGCATTTTAGTGTGACTGTTAAATTAAAACTTGCTGCCACTGTTCCAGATTTGAGATGCTCTCCACAATGAGACTCCAAGAACCCCCGACCTCAGGGGAGGATGGGTGTGCAGAGGTCAATGGAAGTAGCGGCCCCGCTACGGACACTCACTCTTTGTTGTAGTAACTATAGCACTGATCACACGCACGAGCAGGGCTCTCTCTGCAGCCTTCCACCACCATTTTCTTAGTGGAGCAGGCACTGCACACTAGCCGGCCACAGCGGCGACAATGATGACGCCTGTTGAACTGATGAGTGTCATTGGGAAGAGAAAAAGGAGCGAGAGAAGGTGAGATTGTAGGAATTGTGAGTCTACCTGTCAACCCACTTATCTTTGGTATTAGTCACCTGCAACTTACTAAGAATACCAGGTGTTTGGGCTTCTACTGAGAAAGAACACCTAGTCCTTGCCTTGAAGAAGCTGACATTTAAAGGTACATCTCAGGGGCGCCTGGGTGGCTCAGTTGGCTAAGCGGCTGCCTTCAGCTCAGGTCATGATCCCAGG